TCCGATCCCGTGAGTGCCACTCCTTAGTACTCACAACGACAGTAGTGATGTCGAGTTGGCGTTTTTTTTTCCTTCTGAGCCACTAAATTGTGTCAGCGAGGCATCGGCAGTGACAGCCGACATGACTGTGTGGAACGGTATGGCATAAAATTATACCACCTTTGGGGAATTTGGATTCCTGGCGGCGGGCGCGGGCAAAAGGGGTGGCGCTGGCGCAAAAGGAGGGCGGGCGCGTATTGTTGCTTGAGCGGATGGCTCGGGAAGGGAGGTCAGCGGGATATGGACGGGTCATAAATGTGTCCGAAGAGGTCCCTCATCAGCGGTCGTCGGGCAGCTGTCATTGCGTTTGTTCCGCGGCCTGGCGGTCGTTAGGGTCTTCGAACAAAGCCCCGTCCCGCGAACCTACTTAACTGTGATGGGAGCTATTTCGATACGAAATATTATAATTTATTTGGTGACGCCACAATAGAAACATTCTAACAATGAAATGTAGTATCTCAAAAGTCTAAAGCATGTCATACTCTCGAAATACACAGATGAGAGATATACAATGCTCACTCGAACATAATAAAAATGCTGTCAAAAAGGCGCATCTATAAAGGTTACGAATTTCACTCACGCATAAAAGTATATAACTCTCCGTTTCCTCATAACCACTCCTCGGAAAGTTGTAATAAGAGAAAACTTACGCTTCGTAGAATGAGGCAATATTACCAATAAAACTGTGAAACAAAAGATTAAGTGTTAAATATTCGGTAATTTAAACAAGAATTAACATAAGTGAGGTGTACCATTTGGTGTCAAAACGTTTAAGGCACGCATCCCTCAAATCCAGGACATGTGGAATACAATTAAATGATTAGCAAAACGAAAATTTTTTATCCTCGAATTATCTAATTAAACAGGATAGAACGCACGCGTATACAGAAAAAGAGCTGAAACTTAGCGGGGACAATTTGAGGAAAGTTTTATAACTAACCCGGTCACCGACTCTTCGACTTCCTATAGAGAGGTGAAGGAAAATGTATAGGTCCATACCGCTAGAGTCGCAGTTAAGGCTTTAAAACTGAGAAAATCAGCAGGCCATGACTTAATAAATAATAAAATGATGAAAGAATTCCTCGCAATGCAATTACTTCATTATCAGCTCTTTATAATGCTTGTCTAAGATTAGGCTATAATCCAAAGACCTGGAAAACTGCTATTATAACACCAATTTGCAAGCCGAACAAAAATCTACTAGATCCTCTTAGCTATAGACCAATTAGTTTGTTACCGACCTTTGCCAAAATGTTCGAAAAACTTATAAAATCCCGACTATACAAATTTTTTACCGAAACAAATGCGCTACCAAATACGCAATTTGGATTCCGTCCAAACCACTCCACAAGCCATCAACTACTAAGAGTAACGGAGTACATTGCTGAAGCATTTCATAACCTAATGTACACGGCTGCAATTTTTCTCGACATCGCACATGCCTTTGATAAAGTGTGTCATCTTGGGCTACTTTACAAGTTGTAAACCTTAGGAACCCCCGATTACCTCCAAAATATCATTAAAAGCTTTCTGCCAGAGAGGGATTTCAAAGTTAGTATTAATAACAATAAATCAAGAGCACATATCATCAAAGCCGGCGTGCCGCAAGGTTCCCCACTCTCTCCCTTATTGTTCAACATATATATAGCAGACTATCCAGAAATGACTTACTCAGAAATAGCTTTTTATGCAGATGATACCGTATTATTTAATGCAAATTCAAACATTACCAGCGTTTGCAAAGATCTCCAGTCGGACTTAAATGATTTTGTCGAATGGACAATGAAATGGAGGAATGCCATAAACCCTACCAAATCACAGCCTACAATATTCTCACTAAGAAAAATTCATCAACCAGGACAAATTAAAATCAATAATACTGCAATTCCTTGGCTCAATAATGAAACGCCCGTAAAATATTTGGGTGTATTACTGGATCAAAAATTAACATGGAAAAACCATATTCAAGAAATAATGAATAAAACATACTCAAAAATTAACAAATTTTACCCCATTTTTAATAACAAGTCATCGCTTAATCTGGACTGCGCACTATCAATTTTTAAAACGATAATACGTCCCTCATTAGCATACGCCTGTCAAATTTGGAACAATATAGCAAACACACATCTAAAGAAACTACAAATCATTCAAAACAAGTACCTACGAAAAGCCGTACAAGCCCCTTGGTTTATTCCAAATAAGCAAATTCACAGAGAGCTAAACGTTCCTTCCATTAATGAATATATTCAACATATTAGTAACAGATATTTCAACCAGCTTCCGACGTGTACAAGTGCACAAATATTTAATCTAGGCAAAAATGCTTCCATCCCAACCCGCATATTTCCCGGTACCACAAAGACTCTCTTAAACCACCTTAAATTAGAATAATTAAAGGTGAATAAAGATAATAGTAATAATAGTAATAATAGTAATAATAGTAATAATAGTAATAATAGTAATAATAGTAATAATAGTAATAATAAACCAAACTTAAAATGAATTTCTTCTGAATTATTGCTCTGCAGACTGTTTACGGGGTAGCCGTGTGGCCCTCCTCAAATACTGTTTGCCGAAAGGCCAAAAATTATGTGTATTAATAAATTGTAAATTAAAAACCCTGAAAGGCATATTATGCCGAACATGCAAAAAATAAATTTAAAAAAGCCCTTTTCTGGGTTTTAAGACACAGAAAATATTATTTTCGCTTATTTTTTTAAAAATATTTTGCGTTTGAATTTGGCGCTGAGAAAACGTCAAAAATTAGTTATATGAAAATTGTTACGATTTGTATACATTACAACACTATGCGAGTGTTGTTTTACGTCTTCGCAACATCTCCAATCCCTTCTTTGGCATTGCACGTATCTGAAGTAATCCTCCATTAAGTTTTTGTCAAGTTTCGGCACGTCGCAGTCAGTGCGTTTCATCGTCTACAGTAACCGTATTCCCATACTGTCATCCGTCTGGGAATCCGTGATGTCTCGAGTTGTTTTACTTCCGAGACTTCACGGAGCTAGTTAAACAATCCGAAGAATTCCGTTGTAAATTATTAAAAAATTCGAAGAATCCTATTTTAGAGGCATAATTCCTAATGATACGGTCTCTAATTACTCGTATAATGCTGTAAAACCTCTACATATAACACCGAAAAAATGCTGTTAAGTAGCATCGCTTAGTATTCGTTAGAAAGGGTTTTGTTAACCAGATTTTGAGAGTAACGGGGTGTCTTCTAATAGGGAAACCTGTAAATTGGCTCTTTCTTACTTGTATAAACTTCACATGCTAATTAAGGAATTAATGAAGCGAAAGTATAAATCCAAATAGCTTGCAAGACGAAGCACTGCATAGAAAAATTCTGGATCTAGAATCTGCCAATATGGACAAAACTAGCAATTATTTTTTTTTTGTTTTAAATAAACGGCAATCTAAAACACTTAATGGTACAAAAATAATATCCGGTAGAACAATTTCATAGTGATTTTTTTCATGTTTATCTCACATTGTATCATACATTCGTTAAGAATCTAAAATTAAAATTAGTATGGCTTTACTTCCATTATGCGTAAAGTGAGCGGTTTTCCTGAAGTCTAGAATTATTTTAATGAAAATTTTTAAACGATCATATTTTAATAAACAAGTGAGCCACTCTGCTACCAATATTACATCATGATAGAACAACACTAATGATAACTACACATTATTTCAGATCGTTTTATTCGGAAGTACAGGTAACAATAAAATTTTACATTTATTAACAAATACAATGTTGAAAAGTAAAAAGAAATATTTTAAATAAACGAACAAGTACAATATTGAAAAATAGTATTGAGAACAATAGCATAGGATAGACTCGAGATGAAATATTACAGCAGAATGAGTGGTTTACCAGAATCTTCTGAACCGTCGCAAAAAAATGAGATGCGGTTTTCACTAATACAAACGTATTCAAGCGGCACATTTTAAAAAATATTATTGCATAGCTTCTTTATATTTAGATGTAAAGTATGTCGATTTTTAAATAGAACTATATTTGTTTAGACAATTACAACTAGCATGAACTCATGAGTTCATGAATGTATTTGCTGTCCAAGGCAAATTAATATTTCTTCAAAAAATGTAAAGTTTTTTATCCACGCCGACTATGCTAACCAGGTGGGTTGGCGCTTCGGAACGGAAAGACTGCATTTGCGGGATAATAGTAGGCGTGCTTTGTAAAACTTTACAGTTCTAAAAAATATATGTGACATAGGGCAGATGGTATATATACAAACTTCACTTCACGGTCGTTATCATAGAACAAATAAATCTGCAAAGTAATTTTTGTCAATATCACTGAAATCAAGGCTATTCAATTACACATGTGACTTGCTGTCACTCCTGGCGAAAACTGCTTTCCAATATATGTAACAGTTCAGGAAATATTTGAAGCAATCTCTATGGAAGTCGCCATATATGTTGTGCATTATATATATTTTAGAAATAAAATACTGTAGTTCAGCTGAAACTCTACTTCAAAGTGTCATTATGATGCGATTCTTCGTCAATACGTATTTACATTAGTTTAGAGAATTTGAAATATTTACTCTTTGATGAAGTGCACTGTAAAGTTGAACAATATATTCCTGGGAGATCGGAAATCCTCTTTTTAATTTCGGGGTGAAAACTAAAAATCGAAACTTCTTTGCAGCGCACTCTTCATCTCTGGAAGTGGTCATGGGCAACCTTTACTTCGGCCGCGGAAACAACAACGTGAAGAAATGTTGTCCGCTGCGAGCCTCTCTGTCGTGCCTTCTCTCCGCGCTTTTCCCACCTTCACATTGATTCCTGAGAACGCGCCTGAACGCCTTCAACGCGCGGAACACCTGCCCCCGGTGGAAGCTGATCGCGTAACAGATCGGGGTGTGCCCGTACCTGTCCAAGGCGTCCACATTCGCTCCGGCGCTCAACAGACTCACCGCGACTTGCAGCCAGCCCGGGATGACCGCGAGGTGCAGGGGGGTGCAGCGGGCGTTGCAGACGGCGCTCACGCGGGCTCCGAAGCGCAGCAGCGCCACGACGATCTCCGCGTGGCCGCGGAAGGCTGCGACGTGCAGCGCGGTCGCACCGTCCGGGTAGCGCAACCGCGGGTCGTTGGGGTCCATGCCGAGCGCGAGCAACGTCGACACCACCGGCAAGCTCCCGGCGAACACCGCCCGCAGCATGTACCAGAACACGTAGGAGGAGTTCGTCGTCTGGGTTCTGGCCACCAACTGTCTCAGAGTGCTCGGACGGTGGATATGAAGCTCTCGCGGCCGACCGTTTTCGTCAACCGCAACCAGATTCCATCTCGGATAGTGATATACATCGCGGTCAGAATCGTGATCGGAGTCGCTCTCGTCGTTCTGGCCTTCCTCGCTGTCGGATGTGTCCGAGGCTTCGGCCTGACCATTGTTCGCGGTCCCATCCCTATTGGAATCGGACGATGCCGAAAAGTCTAGCCCGCTTTCGTAGTCTTCGCTGTCGTCATCGTCCATGAGCAAGTTCTCTTCTTGGATCTCGTCTCTCTCCCCTGCATTCATGATTACAGGTTGGGGCACGACCTGTAAATCGTCGTCCGCTGGTCGTTGGTCCAACGAATGGTGAGTTTCCGGGACGATGCCAGGGACATCTTGCGGGTCCATCTGAAATTCAAAATTTACGCAAAAGAACATGAAAATGTCGTTATTACAACTAACGTTATTTTGGTCTAGTTATAAATCGATAAAATAGCGTGTTCCTTCTCTATAAGATTATTTATGTAGAGAAACGTTTAAGTTAATACAGCCAAATGTAAAAAGAATGTAGCTTAATTCGACAGGGTAAATAATTGATATTTTTTGACATATGAAAAAGTGTGTCGTACAATTCAAGACTCGGCATTAAACAGGATGTAATTGATATTTCTGTTAAATTAGCGCTTTTAACAGAATGATGAATGAATCAATCCCTATAACCTAATTAATTATCAAAATTCAGACGCACTTCGTGATAGTGTTATGGGGCGATTATAAATGGCAGAAGTTTTATGTGCCAATAGGTTTAACGTATAAATGAACTAATTTTTATCAAAATTATGGAAAATGGAACTTACATCTTTTTCTATTTCAAGCCTTCAATTTTTTTTTAAAAAACAGAGACAAAATAACTTCAAATACAATAAAACATTTACATTCCAAGCAGCCTCAAGAAAAGTGTGAAAATTTTCTGTAGCACATTAAAACCCTTATAAAATAACTAATTCATATAAAGAATATTAGAAAAAATGTTTTCGTATTTTTCTTACATGTACAAATGCGAACAGATACTAAGACTTTGTTCAGAAAGCTTTTTTTGAATGGCTCTGGAAAGAGTTTAAGTAGAGTAGCCCCCCCCCCCCCAAATTATGCTACACGCTCTGATAGAAATTACGGATAGGCGATTTTCATGTCTGCTCTTCATACGCTTTGTCCCTGCCGCATTGTAATGTCCATTTACTTTCAAAGGCAAGTTTTCTCGCTTCGCTCGCCAGGATCCAAGTCACGGCGAGGCTCGGGCCTTCGACTCTCGCGTTCACTATAAACATCATTGAGTTTATCCACCGTATAATTACCAATTCACTTTTGTAATAAAGCACTTTTCAAGAAAGCCCTCTGAATTAAAACTGCGCAGTTGCCACCGGAACGGCGCGAAGTACCGGTTTAAACGGTCTTCTGTAAGTTGTACCGTATAGTAGACTTCACTCTTGAAAATGATATCATTCAATTTTTCTAAGGTTTTAGTCTAAAGCAGTTGAACATCGAGGTGAGTAAGAAATTGAAACGAGGACAAACGCTTGAATGCAAGTTGTTCACCGCCCGTTTCGTTTCTGTTCAAGCATCAACGCAACGCGAATGGCCTCTGTTTGCGGTGTTGATGTTTCAGCTTTGCCGAGAGACCTCTTTCGCAAATAATTCGAAGGTGAAATTCTCCAAAGAGATTAAAGGGCTCTTGTCCATTACTTCATTCGATTGCATTGCATTATATTTATATATGATTATATTAGATTATGACATATGCATTATATTAGATTATGACTTACCTATGAATTTATACATTTTCTTTAGAAATATAAATTTAACCTTTCGTTTTTATAATATAAAATAGGAAATTTGTATCAAACCAATTCACAAACATCTTCATAAATATGAAAATCAAATAAAAAGAATTCTTGTAAAAGGAAATCTACTTGCCATTGTTACTGAAGAACAATGAACATTTTTTTCTTTGAAGTTAAAAAAAATTAACTGAGAGCAACTTTCCATTTCTGACTGAATGTTGACAACCGTAGCATTGGAGAGTACGCGTGAATCCGCACAAGTGTTCTTTAACTCATTTCGCTAGATGCTTCTGGAGTGAGAGGTCTTAATTATATAGTACAGCCGTCAAAACTGAAGGTGGTAGTATAAAATAAAATATCGAGCACGTTTTCCGATTCAGTTTACTACATGACACTGACGTGAAAAGTGTTTTATCAAAGGTCAACAACGTTCGTTGGTTTATTTTGGTCATAATTCATCTACTATTTTGCAAGTTTGGTAAGGGCGAGAGGGTAGGTAGAGATTCCGGAGCTTAAGCTTTGTGTTTTTCTCTTTGTCTTTTTCTGAAAAAAAAAAAACACAAACGTTGTAACAAAAACAAATGTCTTTTAACTTGTTTGTGAACCAAAGTGTATCAAATAAACTCCTGAACAGCAATTAAATACGAAAACTTACCTTTCCCACCTTTTCTTCGCGAGTCGCGAACGTCAGAATTGCTGTTTCTCTCTAGAGTGCCGCCGCGCTTAAGGAAAGTCTTCGAGGAAGACAACGGCAGTGAAGCCAACACAATAAAACTGAATTTTCATTACAAATCTGTGTTTATAATTATATTTTACTATTCAAATATAATGTTCTTACTTTTATTATTATAATTTCACAGTGCATATTAATTAATTTTTAAACATAGATTATAACATAAATATAGAAAATTTAGTACGAATGAACAATGAATTTTCATAGTGAAAATATTTATAAACGATGGTTAGAATAATCTTAATGTTCCACCTTCTTGTTAGTTGTAGTTTGCTAAAGTTCATGGATTGACAACAGAAATTCTCTAAATAAATGGGTGGACTGTAAACAAAGTACCAAATTCGTACAGCTTTGCCCTCATAATTCACACAAATGAAATTAACAGAGAATAGGTAATTTCAAAAATACTTGCATTTGTAATTAAATCATGAATATTTTAGATGCCATTGTAAACAAAGTACAAATTTCCACTAAAGTTTCTTTACTTCTATATTGTTCTATCCTTTATGCATGTATACTAACATTTCAATTTTTTTAATTTATAATACTTTAAAGATCACACTAAATCTCTGAAAGTGGATACATATCTCTTTAGTATATATTCTTCGATTACGTACGTAATAAACAGTCCCCTTCTCTTCCTAGCCGCCATATAATTTTACAGTGACAAACTCAGAGACAAAGTAGTTCTCCATGAAATCAACATTATTTTTTCTATCAAGACATTTGATCTCTAGTCTCAAAAACTTTAATATTACTGAAAACTGTTGTGGCTAACATGGAGAATAGTACACAAAATATATTTCTCTCACCGAATTTTCTGAAGATTGTAAACATTATTTTGCAATAAAACCAGGTCATTCTAATGTTCCGACATACTTCAATGGTTTTGATATATTCCTTAAAAATTATTAGTTTTATGCCTCATAAAATTAAATCTGTTCTAATTGTGTTGATGTGCTCATTTTCAACAATTTCAATATCCACAACGCTGAACTCACAGCAACTGCATACGTTGACGTGGAATCCAGATAGAAAATACTGAAGATGGAGTGACATCTTCAAATATTAACTTGATCGTGGGAAACACATATCAGAGAATGTGTAATGTTCCATTAAAAGAAACTGCCGTAAACTGTAAATTTGTGCATTTTTAAAACTTTTTGTATTCTCTTAACTCTGCACTGCTTTCCACATTGGGCATCTTGCAAACCTTTTTTTAGGTAGTTAGTGGAACTTGGAAGTTTTGACCGTCGAGATAGTGTGACCCACCAGTGCTAAATCATCTTTATTTATTCGTGTGCTGCCACATGTTAGATTATGAAACGACACTAGGCTTAAGATAAATTATTTTGCGCACTTTCTAAGAGTCGTGCACAGGAAGTGAAATCATTTTAGTGTTTGGTGTGAAAGAATTTCTATTCTAACTACACATCTCTGAAACAATAAATGTAACAATTGTATATGATATTAAAATGAAATAATAAAAGACTATTTCAAAATTATGGAGTAATGAATAAACACAAAATATTCTTGATTTATTTGGATTTAATTCATTTTTCGATAAAACCAGTTTGTACATTTGTACATTTATTCTGTTGATGAATATGAATGAACAGTAAATAGTGCAAGGAGAAATAATCCTATCAACGTGACGAGGATAGCTGACAAATTTCTTAGCATAAAGGATTTGCCGAAACGTCTATTAAACCAAAAGACTGAATGGAAACAATTTAATAAGAGATGAGATGGATGAGAATTGAACTTGGAGTGTTAAGTATCTGTAAGTAGCAGAACACTTGCTATTTGAATTGGGTATTTATTTGCATAATAATTTAATACTTTATTTTCAGATATCTTTGAATAAAATGAACAGTGAAAGGTTGTAAATTTAAGGAGGGACAATACACCACCCATTTCAATGCTGAATAGTGTTACTGTTGCATCACGAATTGGAAATAACTGTCTGCCGATCGCAATCAAAAAGTATTATGTATGGAAGCAGATTGAGTATGTATCTCCAGTATATCAGGATTTTTTTAAATCCCTGGAGAGGGGCTATTGATTTCGAGAGAAATGAAATGTTTTATCTATCAAACAAAGTGTCCCTCTATTAAAGAAATATGGTACCAATTAGTGTGATTTTATTTCTAACCAGAATGATCTGGTTACTCATCAGCAGTTCCCAACCTTTCCGTTTCATACCTGTTCCCTCATGTGTAAGTTTTATTTTTAATGAACTTCCAGTTCTGCACTATTGGACAGGTCATAATTATTCAACCATTGTAAAGTAATTATGTTTATGCAGCTGCAGACAAAAGTAGTTCATACCTCCCAGGTTTGAAACCACTGTCCTAAGCGAGGTAGTATGTATTAATTAATGCTGTTACAAGGGAAAATGTAATAGTGAGAAATTATTGAATCTTACATCAGAAACAAACTATTTCTCAGTTTAACATCACCTTGCACAGTGTTCATTAAAGTGAGTGTCATGGTTTAAGGTGTTAACTCAGGGAGTTAACACTTTCCATAAGTTAAAATTTAGTAGTTTCAATAAGTTACTGTGGGGAATTTTATCATTAGTCTTAAATGTAAATTTAATTTAAAAATATCTTTAGATATTTAATGAAAAAAAAGTTCCGGGCAAAGTCACAAGCTCATATCTCCATTGCTGTATTTGAGTTAACACCATCTTGCACTAAGCTCTTCAATTACTCACATCGGGCTGGTCAACTGTATAACACTTGTTTCGGAAATAACGTATTAGGCGGACTTCGAATCTCAAACTAGTGATTTGAATTGCTTGTGGGTTGAATTATTTTTATATTACATAATGAGAAATAGGTGTGCACATTTAGCACCATTCCTTTGAACTGCTTATGCAGAGAACTCTTTGCTGTTGGATTGAACTGGTCTTTCTCAGCAGCCCTTCTGCACTGCTTGCCTAGATATACTGCGGAAGAAAGTGGTCCTATAGCGATACGCTGGCTTGCAACTACTAGATTTAACTTCAGACCTATAATTTCAGAAATGTGGACAAGAAAACTCCCACTAAAACCATACATATATTCAGAAGACAACCATTTTTAAGAAATAAATTTTTAAAGACCTCTCAAAAAATATCAAGTAAGCGTAAAATCTACGCGAACACACGGCTCCGCTCAAATTAAACTAGTTCTTTGAAGTGGCAATTTCTTTGGTAAGGGTTCTTTTCCTTGTGCACTAAAGAAACTATGCTCCTAAAAGCCTACTTTCTTATCCTTTTGGCCATTTTCTAATCCACATTTGCGGGTCACGATTGTGAAGCGTCTAACAATTTGATAACCATTTCCGATATTTAAAGAAGATTTTAACAATGATTCCCAATTTGTTTTCATAATCCAACACAACGTAAGTTGTGATTTTTACTTTCTCTAGTATTAATGGTATACACAAAGTTTTACGTAGCTCAAAAGAAAGTTATGAACTCTTGCAAAAAAAAATGTAGACTACCTTCACATCGTTCAAGACTCTCCAAAACTATTTCCCTAACGATCTGAATGCGAGGCACTTCGAATTTCAAACTGGCCTTTTAAAGAACTGGATATGATATACATTAATCTCCATGTCATTTTCAACATTTGCTAAAAGGGCTCAATTTTTCTTTAACTATTTTTTCGAAGATGCATCTTAATTCATGTAAATTAAAAAACAGCGACATAATACGCCAAGTCAAAACCAGTAAAAAGGCACGTTACTGTGTGTGTGTGTGTGTGTGTGTGTGTGTGTGTGCGTGTGCGTGCACACACTTTCCCCACTTGAATTATTCCTGTAACTACACAACTACACACACAGATTTAGAATTTAAAAAAAGTCAAATATGTTCCGCACGTAATTGCGAAACTAATCACGGTGATCAGATAATCATACTAAAATCATGTGATTATTTTTTTTTCAAACATTTTGATTACAAACTCAAAATTGTTGGTTCGAGTCTTTGCTTTATATAAATCTAGTCTATACGTAGATTCTATGTTTCACTAACAATTTCAAAACTACCTCTCTTTTCTCTTACTATACAGGAGGAGTCTTAGAAGCTTACTGTCACACAGCAGCATTGCAAATCATGTAAATAAAGTAAAAAATCTGACCTTCAAGATTTTTTGTGTGGCCTGGTTGGCTTTTCAGATAAATGTTTACATATATTTTATATTTGCTGTGGAAGGGAGGAGAAAGACTGTGGTATGTCCTACAATGGGCTTGGAAAACTCATTATTCACAGGGTGCATGGGAACTCGATCCATGCTCAGAATTGTCGTAAATGTTAGTAATAGTGTAATTAGAAAGTGTCCAGAAAATCCCAATATTTATGGTGTGCCAAGATCACAATACTCTGACTTTCATATCACACTAATTTCATAATATATCAGTTATTTCAACACTTCCATCTCATTGATTTGAGTTTGACCAGTTTCTAAGTTTGAGTTTAAGCGACAACTCCCTTTTGCGCATATGAGAAGTGGTCGAGCATTAATGGTGGCATTAAAGTGGATACAGGGAAAAATTCTGCTAAACTTTGAAAAATAATAAATATTATCGGTTTTTATCAAGATTTAACTTTTTGAATCCTCGTATAATTATCTATACAGATTAATACTGATTTAGTATACATTAAAACTACACAAACCAAGTGTTAAATTACAATACGTAAAAGAGGAAAAGCACTCATCTGGAACTTTTGTATAAACTTCACAATGCAACTTCTAAAATATGACCAATACCAATAAACGTACTTTCATATTGTTCTGTGACTTACACTACTAAATATTCTGAAATATTACTGAAGAACTATAAACAAAGCTTACAAGGCACAAGCACGTCAAGGCGGGAAGTCCAGGTACAAACACTTGAGGTACAAACACAAGGTATAACTTGAGTTTCTCGAGTCGAACTACTTCCTGTACGCAGCAGGAAGCCACTGGGCGAACGCCGTGCTCAAATTGTGGCGGCACTTGGGGGCGTCGGCGCCGTACACGTCCCGCAGCGTTTTGCCGTTCTTGGCGAGCGCGGCCGCCTGGTGCTGGAGGATGACCCTGGCCAGCGGCACGTTTGCGTTCTGCACGGCGTAGCACATGGGCACGTGCCCGAGCGCGTCGCGCCGCGAGCAGTCCGCGCCGGCGAGCAGCAGGGTGCGCGCGCAGGCCACGTGGCCCGGCACGGCGGCCGCGTGCAGCGCCGTGAAGCCGCGCCTGCACGGCACGTTCACGTGCGCGCCGCCCCGCAGCAGCACCTCAACGCACGCGTGGTTGCCGCGGTAGGCGGCCGCGTGCAGGGGCGTGGTGCCGTCCTGGTGCGCCGCGAACGGCCCGTTGGGGTCGGCGCCCCCCGCCAGCAGCGCCTGGAACAGTCGTTCGGAATAAAGATAGCTCATGCATAGCCCTCTATCACCAAAGTAGCTACTAGTTTTCTCCAGCTCTCCTCCTGCTATAAATTTTTGGCTGTCCGGGAAACGCTGCGTCGTTGGCTGGGAGGCCGACGTTTCGCCTGACATGTCGCAGGCCTCAGGGCAGTAACGTGTGCATCTCCTTCTGCTAGTTGGGGTAGGAGTAAACCTGGGATTGTGGGTTCCCATTTTGTTAGCAATACTATAAAACAAAGTCTGCAGTTAGTTTACAGATGGAAAGGTTTTCTATTAATCAGAAGATAAAATTTCCCGTTTTTAAATGTTACTAACAATGCTTCTTGTGATACTTTTATTATTATCATCCAACTATGCTTAGTAAAAAGATAAAGGGTAAGAATTCTGGTGCTCATGAAAACCTGCGCAGTTTATACTTCTCCCCCGTCGTCACATTTACATGTTCTTGGTGTGTGTTCATTTAATGAATATAAAATCTCACTCAGACTTGAGTGAATAAATGTGTTAGTTAATTTATATATTTGTCAGTCCCTCTTAAATTTTAACTTTTTACATTAAACGTTACATTATAAAATGTTACAACTCCCTGCATTAACAAGTTTTACATATTGTCTGTCAAAGAAGGGGACAAAATTTTATGTAAAATATTTGTCTACTAGATTTTCCATTAATTTATTATAGTATCAAAAAATATCGTAGTTTTTATATAGATTTAGTTTTATACGGTCGTAAGACTCTTTTTGCGTCACTAATTCAGATTAACAGTACATATTGGGGCAACCTTTCTTAGAAATATAAAACATCACTGAAACATCAAAGTGCATTAAATATCCGGTAAAGAATTGCGGTATTGAAAACAGCTCATGGTATATAAAGAAATATTTTTAACTTAAACATACTACTGTAACGTACTAGCGACCGCATGATTATTTGGGGACGGGCAGAAAGGGATTTAGCAACAGGAAAAACCTCGCCACAGGGGGGAGAGAAAGGCTTCCTGTAATGCGAGCGCGTGGGAAAGGGAGACACCAGGCGTTCTGGGGTTCCCTGGTCTTAGAGAACGGATGTCCAAAATTCGGAGCTGCGTGCAAGCATAAGCGAGCTGCGAAGGCGGCGTGACGTATGTCACATGAGGGACAGCTATAGAAGGGAGAATACAGAGTCAGTGGGTGGGTTCTGGAGAAAGTGTGATCACCTCGTGCTGATGCACAAAACTTGCGCCAGGGCCTTGCAGCGGCGAGCAAGGCTTGCGAGGAAAGTCACGTGTTAACGCGCCTTTGGAGACTGTTCCATGTGTGACTGCGGTCACGTGGAAGTGATGTGTGCGTGCTCCGAGGTGAAGAGTGGTTAAGATCCACTATCACACCAATCATCAATCGGTTAAGATCGCTGCTGCGATCAAGGCTAATCAATAGTTGATGAGCCTGTATTGACTGTGTCCGAGTGTGACATCCGGTCACGGAAGCTTGGCTTTGCGCGCGCTTCAAATTTAAGAGTGGCGAATGCCACGAATAAAACAGATTACCAATCTGATTTGGATCGCTCCCGCGATTGGAGGAAAATGGGTCTACCAGAGCTAGTGAGTGTAGTGTAGATAATTTAACTGCACCAAATTGTTTTACTCGTAAATAACTATTTTATTTATTTAATAGGTAATTATTACAAACAAATTAGATTACTTGATCCTATGTGGCTAGGCCGAAGGCCTTTAAGCCATTACAATACCTACATCCTTTCGCGTTCTAATCTTTCGAATCCTGGTATTCACCCCAAATGGTCTCTCCATCGCATCAAAGCCGCGGAAAAGAGACCACAATGTACGGCTCAGGAAAAAACCCCTGAAGGGGGAAAAACCTGCCGTCAGAAGCCGAGTACATTCTAATCTATCCGACATTTATTTTAGCTATTTTATTTTCTGGCGCGGGCGTCCCGCCGTCTCCTTCCAGTGCTTGGCCTCCTCAGCACCTGAAATCAAACGGCGCCACAGAAGATCGTCCGCACCAACGCCTCTGCCCTTACATTTTCGATCCCCCCTTCCCTTCACCACCTAATATGCTTATTACGTAAATAACTATATACGAAATCTGGTGTTCACTGTGAGTACACATGACATCACACTGCCTACTACATTATTTAGTATGTTTCTTTGGTACGTTGAAAGGTCAATTCATATACATAGATACAACACTTTTGATGTTCCACATTTTCTCCCATTACAATGTCTGGTTTGCACTTTATTAACCGCTCCCTTAGAAGTTCACCATGATTGTCTTAAAATTATAAAGCACTAGGTTTAATACTTTCTTAAATAATGCGTCTAATTTCTAGCAAAATTAATATGGAAGAGAAGACTTTATTCCTGTTTAAGACGAGATTCGCCACGAGTCATTGGGACACCGGCATTTTGCAATGAAATTTTAGTTATATTTAGATTCTTAATCTTTACTAGTATCATTTTTGACGTGATGCAAAAGGTTTAACACTTTTTAAGTTAATAAACGGTTTTAATCAACATTTAACTACTTCGCTCATTTCGACTCCCGAAAGATAGTCTATCTTGAAACTGTACTATATATTTGTGCGTTACACTAATCGCCTCCGTCTGTTATTGCGACATTTCCTGTGAGATTCTACAGTTTTTATTTCATTTATCACCCGGCTCTTTTCCAGTTACAAAAAGAAGTGCAATACATTTCGCGTCGCCGTTTATTGATTCATTTGTCTCTGCTTTCGAGAAATGTTATTTCGTCCAAGGTGTGTTAAATTCGATTTATTACGTTGTTCAACATTACGTCGTTCGCTAACATCTTAGATCGGACGAGAGTTTTCAGATCTTGCGAGATACTCGGGATATTTCCGGAGAACTAAAGAAAATGATGACAGGTCCGAAGACTAGTAAGAAGTGCCAGCTGGCAGTGAAATTGTCATTACGAACTTTAGTTGTATGTAGATAAATTATTTCTTTAGAACCTATGACAAATTGCCAGCCGGTTGTTTGAAAAAATTTTTTTACGAATTCCAATACTCTTCGTATTTTCCTCTTCAATATTGAAGGTTTTATTCGAAATATTAACGTTCATAAATATTAGCAATTATTAATGAGGTTTAACCCCTCTGCAGTGACGCAGGGTCTGAGAGACCCACGAGGTCCCCGGTATGGTTGTAGTGGATTGAGTTTCGCTGAGAACACCTTGAGCGTCTCAGTGCCAGTCATCGCCTTCCATGCAGTTTCAACATCGCGACTCCGGATATTCTTATCTATTCTTATGACTATGACAGCTCGGTTTTCCTACGTCGGGACTGAAGAACACCTTGGCTAGGTGGAGAGATGTCGGTGGCAGATTGTAGTGTTCTACAGCATGTAGAATGTTGCTGCATTCAATGCATTTATCATATTTCTGTCCAACAGAAGTACAATAATAAAAAGACAATTATGAACAAATTGTGTACTAAACTTGTAATGAATCAATTCCAATACAGAGTGTGCATCATATATTTCCAAAGAGATCAGAAAGAGCGAGAAAACCAATAGCTGGAAAGTAAGCTAGGTGTGCTAATTACACCAAGAACAACATGGATACAATTTCATTGGGAGAAGTGTTACTCTCGTATCACTCCTCTCTGTGCATGGAGCATGGAAAAATTGTGTGTGAAGCCTGCTTGGTAAATCGCGATACAATGCAAATAATGCATTTTTGGAGAAATGACAAAAACTCGTCAACAAAAGTTACTGAGTGCACATCGTTTACCATTCCTGTTGTATCATTGGGCTATGATCCTTAATAACAAAATAGTTATAACTGAAAAATTAAGTGGGTCTGACAGACCCTTGCGTCACCGGCCGTGTCACAAAAAACGGCGTTACTACTGCATGGTGCTCAAGGCTGGACGAACAGAAGATTTAGACTTATTAAGTTAAAAACAGTAAAAACTATGTGAAGTATGGAGAAGATCATCAGCACACTTTTTTGAGTTCCAGAAACCCTTCCCAGAATTTTAACTATAAGTAGTTGAAAAATGAGTAAAATTTAAAAATAAATAAAAATAAAATGTAATAAAAACGCGAGATTAGCGACATTCGAGAAACTATACATTTTCGTTCCGAGGTCTCGAAAAATTATTTGCAACGGTAAACGAACTGCAGATTTTATTTTCTGCATTGCTAACAAAACAGTAAAGCAAAAGGAGAGTTCGACAAAACGTGCGCATAGTGAAGCTACAGTAGCTGGCTGCTCGTCGAATACCGAATGTGTGGAGTCGCCTGCGGGGGGGGTGGGGGGGACTGATGTAAAGACGGTCCAGCATATTGAAGAGGCCGCGCGGAAAAGCGGGGTCAGGCGCTTGGCACCAGCGGTGGCCTTCGTTAGCACACGGCCCCCTGGCACTAACTCGAGAGATCGCGGCCTCCTAACACCGCAAACGGGTTTGTACTGGCTTTGCAAGCACATGCCGACTGCGTTTGCGATTGCCCCCGGGGGGTAGGGGCTCAGCGCCAGCTCATGCGCGCCAAGCGGCATCTCCAGCTCTCGGGGCCACGCCGGCGACCGGCGGGATCCTCGGCGGGCGCCGGACTCATCTTGGAAGCTCCGCAGCGCATGGCTTGCTCCGGTTGAATGTGACTGACGGGGGCCCATTTAGAGGGAGTCGCTGCAAGCAGTACAACCCGTGGTTAGATGGACGAAAGTTAGCCTCGCTTATGGTAACGTGCAACGTAACTGTCCTTACATTTATTTTCTAACGTCAAAAACGGGGGGGGCTGATAAACTATGGGAAGAAGTATTCTGTGCTAGTTTCCTTCAGTTCTGGGATCCCTATCCTACCTTAACCCATGTACAATTTGAATTCTGAATAGATGGAATTAAGAGTTTTTGGCAGTAATTGATAAGGAAGTATTCGCTCTTGTGCAATAATCAACTAAAAAGGTGGAAAAGTTTACATTTTAGCTATTATTCCATATCATGCGCTTCGTTAAAGAATCAACTTCCTGCCGCGAGAACGTGAACGATAATTTGAATTTATTTCTCCCTTAACTCTAAAAAAACTTGCATTTATAATCAAAAGGAAAACGAGGAGCCATTTCAAATGATCATGGGATCTGAGCGAAAAAACTGATCGAGATGGTGATCATTGTTCCAGAAGGTGAGATACAATCGTCAATGACCATTGATACATTATTTGTCTCACTTTTATATGTATTCTTTTCATTTTATATTAGTCATTTTCTTCAATACTCTAGACTGATGAAAATTAATACGCCGCGAGAAAAATCAAAATTTTGAAGTCCCTCACTGAGTGCGATTTTAAAAATAGTTTTTTGATAAACATATTACACTAGTTTTGTGTCTCAGACTATCAGATGCAATAATTACCACATTGAGGAGCTGGTAACGTCAAAACTAATTTCTTATACATAATTCGCTTTTTATGGTCCGAATGCCGTTGCACGCTATCGGCTGAAATTTCATGAGTGGAATAAAGGTAACGTAGTAACATAAGATGATCTAAGTAACGAGAAGAAATACAAAATGTTTATATCAACATTTTAAACAAAAACGAAGGTAATGATTTTTTTTATTTCTACTCTTATTGTAACCAAGTTTTGTCAATTTTCTACGAAATAAACCGTGTAAACTCTACTAACTTATATTCAATTAAGATGGAGACCATTTTTAACATCGCCTTGCTGCACTTGAAAGCTCTGGGGTAAATAGATAGTTATCTAAATTACGAGGTTCCCTGGTCCCAATCCTGTATGCATAGAGAAAATACATGTTCAGTTTTTAACAAAATACACCTCCGACGTATCTGAATGAAATGTTCGTAAGGTCTCCTTTAGTATTTACATATTAAAAGAAAATGATCAAATTTAGCAGTCAAATATAATTGTCTACTTTTGGTTAGTTTCTAAAGCATTAAGTGTTATGAAGCATTTAAAGCTCGAACAATATGTGACCTACACAATGTTATTGCAGTATTCATGAATAAGTTTTTGTTAAAAAAATTTATTTACTTCAGTGATTCGAGAGAATTTTATTTTCTCTCCAGAACGGTGCATACTTCTTTGTAAAAAAACATTTAGTGAGTTGTTCAGTAGCTATTTATCTGCTACATGCTACTAGTCCACAACCAAATTGGTTTTGTAGATTGAAAACGTAAATCTATTGAATTGGTTAGTTTATTTCGAAAGGCAATTCAAGACTTTTTTATTCCCATGTCTTCCTACCTACCTGTTAATAACAAGTAAAAACGGTTTATGGGGGGAAGTTGGCTTGTCTGAATCCGTTCAAAAATAAGGTACGTTTCAAGTACAACACGAAAGCGCGGAGGAAATAACAGCATGCTCCTGGCGTATTGAAACGCTCCCGGGTGAGGAAGGTCCCAGTGGGTTCGCCCTTGAAGAGGCTTCTCATTTAGGTTTGTGCAGCGATAAGCGACAACATTCAATTGTGAATATTAAGCTTGGAAAAATACTGCCACTACCACCACTGTTTTTCACTTCCCAGTCTTTTGAATGACCTGGAATCTTAGCCAAGTTCCTACTCAATTTAGCGGAACAAATCCCAGAGCTCCGAAAACTATTGGGAAGACCTTTGCTTTTACCCCTCACATTCGACTATCAGGATTTCCAAACTCTTGTATTTAAGACGTTCCTCTGCCTCCCTGATTACGGCATTTTGATCGCAACGCATTGTAACATCTATAAGTCGACATTATTTTGTTCTCTAAATCACGAATGACCTTTGTTTGCTGCTATAATACGATCAGTTTGAAATATTTGTTCATACAATATTGTACACAGTAATTGACGTCACGAGTTTTGTTGAGCGTTCGTACCACTGTTCATGTGTTTGGAACTTCGAGAGCGGCACAGATCTGTCAGTGGAAGCAACTACACACCTTATCGTGTCTATTCATGTATTCAACCTTTGCAAGAATTGGACAGGCTGAGACAATACTATCAATGGATTCTACCAGTACTTATTTTATTAATATTGTTTTTTAGTGCTCTGAGATGAAATGAAAACTGCTTTTTTTCATCGGACAATTAATGTTAATTTCCTGTTACCTTCCAAGGGGCTGATCTTCTTTCTGTAATTCCGAACTTTAAATTTCGGCGTGCGGACCACACTTCCTGTAAACAAAAGTTATTTCATCATTAATAACGAAACAAAATATGTAGACTGCACCAGCTAATATTCCACAGATCCAGAAGTTTTGCATATTTTAGACTATAAAATACAATAAAATCAGGGAAACAATATATGATATTCGTAATTTCCCTTTACCTCCTCTGCCTTGTCGGATGATTTCGCGAATGTTGCCCTACGATGAACAAACTTGCCAGCTCTTAACGAATTTAATGTACATTGAGCAAGTGCTGAAAAATATTTTTGGAAAATCGGCATTCACACTATTTGCCAGATTTATTTTGCAAATAAATGAGCCATCGCATGCCGCGGCGGAGCTAAGAAATATGAATTACAATCGCAATTTCCCTTGCGCAAGCGTATTGTTTATTAATGTCCGACCATTGCAAAGCCAGCACTAGATCTGAAAAGCAGTAAGTTATTTTCACAAAAAATCCTATTAGGGTCTTACCCTCATTGGGATCGAGTGAATCTACTCCAGATACCGCGATATCGGAAAATTAAATGGGAGTTCCACGAAGTCAAAGTGTAAAGTGCTTTGGCATAAAATTCACGATAAATTGTGTGTCGCACAGACTGATTGGATTATGTTAATCCCAGAGGTCAAAAATGTCAAATATTTGTAGCGAACAGTAAACAATGCCCAAGATTCTACGGCCATATTACTTTACGCTTTTTCATTCGAAGTTCACTTTAAATATTTTAAAATAATATTTCTTATATTACCCCTTAGTAACCACCATGTGAATTATTCGATTCGTTACCGAAACATCCTTGGAAATGACAATACGAAATCGCGAACGAAATGGAGTCTTCTAATTTTGTATTCATTTAAATCATAGTTTGACGCTTCGCAGTTGCTTGACTGAATTGGTAACGAGGATCCGGCTTTCACTAATATAAAACCTTGCGTCTGCGCATTGCACATTTTCCAACACCTTTTAAACCGAAATGCATAGTTCCCAAATAGTTTAGGAAATGCCAAAAACCAACGCAAATTCGCTTTAATGAAGAAACTGGCTTACGATGGAGTTTTTGTGGACTATTTTCGGCATTTGTTTCTATAATAGCTGGGAAAGAATCCAGTATCTAGTAACTCCATCAAATTCTTTATACCATTACTTATTTCCAACATGGTAATTATCGCACTCTTTGAAAACAATTTATAAGCAATTTTAAACAGGACTTCATATAAACGCTCTACATTAAAAGCAAATCATCAAATTAATACCACGTTCGACCACGTACATTTTAACTAAGAAACTTATCTTCTTGTTCCTGCAAATATCTCAAATTATTTTCTTCGCTTTAGGTTCTCTTAAAGGCTTAAGAAGTCAATTCGAGAACGGAAAAAGCAACGAAAAATCATTTCTTAGATTTCGGTTTAGATTCGTAGGTGATTTAGTTGGCGAGTTGATTCATCTAGGTATACGGAATGGGATACGTAATTCACTTCCCGTATTTTTTTTAGTATTTTTCTTCAATGTGTACGATGTGGATCTTCTCTGAAACTACTCAACTACGTTCAGAATATTAAATGCTATAGAGGGTCTATTATTTATAAGCCACGATAAATGGATCTTTGAATCACGGTCTAAGCTCCTTATACTTTTAAAATATTTCACATGTATAATGTCCCAGCATTCGCTCATAGTTCAGTTCTACATCATTTCAGAGGTTTTTTGCAGTTTTTTTTGCCAGCCGACTAATAGAGCCGAGCAAATTAGAGTTGAAACATGGTAAAAGATTTCTAAAAGTTACTGTACCTTCTCATAATTTATCGGAATGGAATACAAATTTTGTTGTAGATTCAGTAGCACACGTAATACACTTGGTCGGGCATTTAAATAAACTATATCAACTGATTATGTAAAAGTATCAAACATCTAAGAAAATACCTGTATTCGCGGGAATCCTGAGGGATTTACTACTATACTTTTGACCTCCAACTTTTATAGACAATTTTTTTAACGAAGTAAAAAATCTTATCTCAACCGTTTATAAATCAACTTCAATGGTAAGAACTTATTCGTATTACAAGTGTATTTAAAAAGAGAAAGTTACAATTATAGAATGTAAATTAACTCAAATTATATATAATTTAACTTCAAAACTACAAATGATTAATATTTTTCAACATTATTTCTTTTAGAAAACATTTTTCAGGCGCCACATAAATCTGACATGATAGCAAAATAACTAAACACTCCACATAAGTGGAGGTGTTCATGAAAACTACTACATGGCACGTATAAGAACCGCATAATACCTTGGCCAGTCATGAGTCAGTCTCTCTGCGTGTACCGTCACCCCAACACTGGCAATAAGTGTGGCGTCGCTTCCTGGCAAATCTGCACAACAGTGCTGCCAATAGTTCGTAACAAAAGTTAGCTTCTACTGTGCAGGCTTTCTGAAGAGATTGAACGGTAATTTATTTAAAATTCAGAAACTGTTTCGTTGTAACGGCTGAGATTATCTGATAAATAAATCTGATATTATCTTAAAATAATTTTGTGAGAAGTGAGAATGTAGTATATTTGAAGAGTGATGCTGTTGACTTCAATCGGTTGATCATTATTCCCCATAAATTTGTTTTAACGGAAAGAAGAGGGAATTTCTACGGCTATACGAATTTTGAAAATTACATTAATATATCACATTAAACAGATACAATTTATTTAGTTGTTGAGTTTATCGATTCATATGTATACATATGGTTAATAATAATTATTTACTTGGTCGCAAATGGGCCGTTTTGTACCACGCGGACGTGCAACTGCACTTTCCGAGGCTCAGTATCATTTATCCCGCGGCAAGTGACTTCTATAGGGGAGAACAGCATTAAGATGAATCTGATTTTTATCCACCAGAGTTGCTAGTGCTGAGTGGATGGAAAATGGAATGATGATGATAATACAAATGAATGGACGACACACACACACACACACATACACACACACACATAGACTTACACAATTACACCCATGCCCGAGGAGGGACTCGAACCCGGGATCCTTCCGTCCGAGAGCGACACAGTATTATTGCCTTAGCAATCTCGACAATCCAGACTGACTTGTTGATATTAATAATGATGATGATGATGATGATAATGATAATGATAATGATAATAATAATAATAATAATAATAATAATAATAATAATAATAATAATAATAATAATAATAATAATAATAATTTGATTCTTGACGCGTGCAAATAGTTCACACTCAATAATTTGCAAGATACCGGCAGCGTTGAATCGCATCCGAAACAAAAATGTCTTGGAGTTTGTATTTGCCGGCGTGTTCACGTTAAATATCGAAGTGTCTAACTAATATTTATAACAATATTTGGAGGTACTACGATAATATTTTAAAGACTTGGTGTCAATAGTGAGCACTTTGGAACAATGCAATTCATGACGTGGGAGTCGAGAATATCTTTGTGTGTCGTTGTGAGCTCTAAATCGCTTCCTCGATGTTTGCAGGAGAAATAACTCCTCCATTTCGTATTTTGTGCCGTATTAAGCACCCTCACTCTGAAGGCGAGTGCCCCACACATCTCTTTTAGTGTCTCCGCGGCGCCGGAATGGTCCGTAGCTATCTTTTATGATTCCTGTCTGTTCGAAAGGAGGTCAAACAGCACAGGGACTTCACACACACACACACACACAGTATTACTTTGCCTGTTCATAGGCCCGCCATATTTTTTACGAAAGTATCGACGAAGTATTTTTTATAAATAAAGTTATATTTTACAAACGTTTACATAACTACAACGTTAGTTTTATGTGGTGGCATAGCTTGTAACTCGTCAGCTGTTGAATTAATATTTCATAATACCAGCATTATGCCAATTACAGAAAAGGCAATTCTGATTTAATAGATCATTGAAGAATTTTAATTTACAATTACCGATTTTGTATTACTATTTAATTTTAAGAGGTACACTGTATGGTGATCCTATACCTTCATATATCATAAACGAGCTCCAACGTCTTCTTAAAAATCCTTTCTCAATTATAGCAAATTGTCCTTAAAATACACTAAAAATCCATGTATAATTGAAAATCCTGAGTACCGAGAAAAGTAAATAAATGAGATTTTTATGCGCATCATTAATACTTGCAGTACAGGCTTGTATTTACAGCTTCCAAAAATACACATTAGTATTTCAGATTTAATATATTTCTGAATAAAAACATGTCAAATTACATCTTCTTAAGTTTCTTGAAATCTAAAGTTTCTAGTATAAGTGAGTCAAAAATGGTGCATTTCCAAAAATTTCGTTAAAATATTTTCTTAAAAAAGGTGTACTATTATTCTAAAAATTTGGGTGAAAAGCAGTTTTGTACCATGCAATACTTGATTTCTGTATGTAACGCAAAATATAATATATCAATATTATAATTATTTTATTTTTGTGGAGCATTGTGTTTATTTAAATGTTCTCTAAATTTGGTTCTGTAAGATTTTGTGAATATTTTGTAATTATTAAAGAAAATATTTATTTATTTATTTAAAGTTGAAAAGGCTTTAGGGATTTATTTTGCTAAACTATTAAATTCTGTTATACCATATTGGAATGTTTAGATTCGGCAGATTATAAATGGGATATGTTTTCCTTTCATACAACAAATACGTTCAAATTTCTTTATGAAATTGTTTTAAAAGATAAAACCGAGTGGGCTATGGCATAAGCAATGTTGTGAAGAAATTTGGGGATCGCTATGCGATCGAAACGATCATAAGCTCAATAAAAAAGTTATTGATACCAGACAACATCCTTTATTTATCATATAATAGAAGGTATCTACCCCCCCAACGATCTACTTAAAGTTGTGAGGAAACATCTGTAGGAAATTCATGGATTATTCATCTATATAAAATACGACATAATCGTAATAATAATGATGATAGTAAGAAGAAGAAGAATAGTCAAATCACCCAAGACATTCTAGAAGTTGACGAAGATGTACAGAAAGTTCAAAAGGGAAATACCCTGGATTAGAGGGTGTACACAACTATTGGTTCAAAAATTTCACTACTCTTCATGGGGATATTCTATAACTCATAAACCACAATCTTAATAATCCTTAAGAAATGCCGAACTTGCTATGTGGTGTCACATATATGAAGCCGAAAACCAATGATACTCCAGATGCTACGAAATATAGATCAACCACTTGCCTTAATTCTTTTTTCAGTCATCACAAGTTGTTTATCAACTGTTATCGGGCATCAGTGTGCAACACATTATATCTTAGCCTAAGCCCAGAAAGGACGCAGCAAACGCTTTCTTGGATGTAAAGAACAACTTATCATCGGTAGTGTGGTCATGTCTCAGGCATCTGTGAAGAAACGCAACTCCTTCACCTGTTACATTGACTATAAAAATGTCCGCG